AGTATGTGTTCTGTAGCTCACAACAGGATTCTTACTAGGAATTCTACTAGAGAAATGTCAGAGTCCCTGCACAGAAATACATGTCAGCACAGGATGGTCCTGAAGTGATGGATGGCCTACTGGGTACAAACCTTCTTGCTTTGACCTTGGAACCACCAAATTAGGAAACATTCAGCTTCTGTGATCCTTTCTGGTTAGGGTATATGACAATGGCACTTCGAGATTCCTCCAGTTTCTTTGAAAATTCTAACACACTGGACTCATGCAATAGATTCTTATTGTACAAATGCTAATGATTTTTATTTTAAAAATTCTGTCAATGCTGACATATTCCAAGATAGATTCAGAACAGCAAAATGAAAATTTTATTAACAAAACAAGCAAACATTCACACAACCTTTTAAATTAACATCAAAGCAAAATGATCAATGCCTCGCCATATGGCAACGCGATCCTAACGTAGCATAATTGTATAAAAATTACCACAGAGCTAGCTCTCAGTTGATAAAACGAGTCCAATAACTGTTTTCTCATCTTGTTAGAGTGCTTTCCTATTCTCAGGGCAACACACACCACCACCACATTTTCTCTGTTGCACTTGATAAGGGCAAATTGGCACTGTGGGATGAAACTGGGCTTTGTTCAGCCCTACAGTTCTACTTCCAATTGGCTGGAAGAGTTGTACAAATTGTTTTCCCCTCATGCAGAGACACTTATCAAGGTCCAACAAGAAAGGTAATACAGACCACTCTCCAGGCAGACAAATCTCTCAAAAGAGATAGCACCAAGCCCCCAGCATAATGAAATGGTGAGGTTTTGCCAGTCTGTGGAATAAAGGACTTTCTGAAGCAGATTTCTTAATAAGGGGTACCCAACAGAGTCATTTAGTGAAGTATTTCAAAGAGCTATTCAACTGTTGCATTGTAACCTTCCAGAGCTCCCGGGAAGAGCCGCTCGGCACATGGTTTTCCACTTGACTCTGGTTGCTTTTCCTCCCTCACACGCTCAGTACCTCTAACCTTCATTGGAGTTCCCACTTAGTTAATGGTTACCAAAACCCAGGTCTCATGGCTGAAAAAAGCCTTCAAAAGAAATAAACTCCATTTCCAAGGAGAAACTAAAAAATGGATGTCCAACCTGCCACCGGGCCATGTCTGATTGCTAGCATCAGGACAGGTGCATGGCACACCATTCCTATGTCACATTTAAGACTTCTGGGCTCTGGATGCATTTCTCCTGACTCCTCACACCACAGGCAGTTGGAGCTGGAAAGGACTCTGTGGCCAGATATCCCAATGCTCTTGCTATATAGCAGAGAGAAATGAGGCACAGAGCACAGAAGATTTTTTAGGTTCAAACTGCTAAAAGTAGAGTGCTCAGACAACAACAACAAAAACCAGTGATAGAGGCTCTTTAGCTGCATCCATATCAAGAGCTCTAAGATTATAGCTGTGTACCAGTCACATTATCTTCTATAGGAAATAGTGTGTTAGACACTGTGCTAATGTAGTGTGGATTGCAATCCATTTGGTGGTCAAAGAATCCTTTCACAGTGGTCATGTAAGACCCTCAGAAAACACATATATTTACATTTTGATTCATCCCAATAGCAGTTATAAAGTATCAACAAAGTAATTTTATGGTTGTGGGTCACCACAACATGAGGAACTGTGTTAAAGAGTTACAGCACTGGGAAGGTTGAGAACCACTGTGCTAAAGGAAGTGTCTGTACTGTACAGCAAAGATGATCTCCATTCTTTCTAAGCAACTTGACAGACATGTTTATCTTCCTGCCTTCAATTGTGTTCCTATGCAATAAGAACAACAGTATTGGGTTGGGCAGTATTTGTATGGGAACTGCTGTGTATTGGATGTAATCCTTGTCAGAAGCCATGGATAAACATCATTGGCTCTGTTTTATAGAAGAATTCACTGAAGGATAAAGGTTGAGGGTGATTGGTTGAAGATTCTGCAACCAAAGTAATGAAAATCAGGGATAAGAAGCCAAATAGCCAAATATGTGTGGAGCCAGAGCTACTGATTCCCACAGCAAAGACCCAGTGAATGTAACTCAACTGTAGCCCAGGGTTACAGTTTTAGGAGATATATTTCCATAAGTGCAATGCTGCATTTATTTTAGTGTACTGTAAATTTGTGATTGACATACCTGACAGTTTTATATTTTTATGGGGTATATAAATGAGTAACATCACAATTTGTAAGTCTTAACTTGAGGTTTTTGGTCTATCTGATTTATTTATTTATTTATTTATTTATTTATTTATTTATTTATTGTGTATGGTGACAGAAACTAATTTTTACTGTAATTGGACAGCTGTGTACGTAAAATACCATTGAAAAGAATTTCCTTTGCTCAGTGTGGCTCTTGCTGATTTTTGTCTACAATGCACTTGTTTTAAATGTGTGGGTTTTTTCTATGAGCTTTCTGTCTTGTTCCATTGTTCTATATACTGATTTTTAGGCTGTTAATATGCAATTGGGGTACTATTATTCTGTCACATGTCCTAAAGTCATGTGATAGTAATTCCTAACTTTGGGGGTTTTGCTCAGGAGTGCTTTAGCTATTTGGGATCGTTCAGGATTCCATTTAAATTTTGGAAGTGTTTATCTCACATCTATGGAGATGTGGGTATTTTTGACAGGAATACCACAAATTGTGTTGACCAGTTTGTATTATAAAGACTTAACATGTAGGCCCTCTAATCTACAAGGAAAAGATGCATTCTATTTTCATCCTCTCCAGTTTCTTCCATCAGTATTTTGTAACTTTCATAGAGAAAACATTCCGTTCCCTAAGAAATTTCATCCTACTGTCTCATAGATTTGGGTAGCTATTTTGAGTAGACTACTTTATTAGCTTATTTCCTTAAAAATTTTGATATTTTTCTGTTACAAAGCAGCTAAGCCAGACAGATGGCTCAGCACATAAAAGCACTTGATGACAAGTCTGTTTACCTGAGTTCAATTCCAAGGTCCACATGGTAGAAGGACAAACTCCATTCCTAAAAGCCGACCTCTACCCTCCACATGTACCCCAAAGCACACCCACACCAATACACACACACACACACACACGAAGTTTAAAATTGAAAATAAAATTGATTTTTGTATTTCAACTGTATACCTTCTAAATTCATTTTTATATCCAACAGGATTCTGAAAGCATCTTTATGTTTTCCCATTCATAAACTCATGTTTGTTAATAGTCAGAGACGATGTAACCTCTTCTTTGACTTATCTACCCAACACTTTCTTGTAAAATATTTTTTTAAAAAAACTTTTGTTTGGTTCTTTGCAAATTTCACAACATGTACCCCAATCCCATTCATCACCCCTTGCCTTGTATTGGCCCTCCCAAACTCTTGAAACCTCCCCCCCCCCAACATAGAAAAAAATCTCATTGTGTAAGCTGTAGTGTGGCATAGTGTGTCCCACTGTATTTCCTTTTGTACATACCTCTTTGGTTGCAGATATTCACTGCAATGGCTCCTTGGTCTGGGTTAAGACCCCTGGCTTCTGTTAATCTATCAATACTGAATTCTCCCTGGGCTCTCTCTCAGATATGCTGTTGTTGCCCTGTGTCATGGAGATCCTGTAGTTCTGGGTTTATAGGACTGGCCCTTTCATGCACTCTAGTAGTTCATCTCTGCAGTAGATGTTAGGGTAGGTATGTTCAAAGCCCTGGATGTAGGCCTGAGAGTTATCTGAGCTGCCTTCCCACTCTCATGCCCTTTAGGGCCTGCTCACCAGCAAGCCCTGCAACTAGAGCCAGCTCTACCCTGCTACCAAGGTGAGGTGCAGGGCATGGTCTAAGAGTTGCAGCTGGTGAGAGGCATGGCCAATTCTCCAACACTCATGACCCTGAGACCAGCTCCCCCACCTGCCATAGCTAATGAGGGAAAAGGCACAGAAGGAGGGTATCTCTCTGTCGTCCCTACTACAACACATCAGACAAGGAGTAGGGCTCAATTTCCTGCATCCCTGCTCTTGGGCTATCGCACCTGCAACCTCCATGACCAGGGCTAGCTCTACTGTGATAACCAGGTGAGGTCCAGGGCCTGCTCTCTTGAGTGCTGCAGCAGGTAAGAGGCAAGGACAAATCTCCTGTTCTCATGACCCCAGGGCCAGATCTCTCACCTGGTGAGAAGGCAAGAGAGTATTTCTCCCTATTTCACTACGTGAAAGACAAGTAACAGGGCCAGCTCTCCCATAATCATACTTTGGCTGGTTCACCCACTACTCATATAATGTGTGGGGCTCACTCTCCAAAGTACTGTAGCTGGCTAGGAACAGGGTCAGCTTGCCTACTCTCAACATCCCAGGGTCATCTTTCCAACAATGCTCAGATGAGGGGTGGAGTCAGTTCTACACAGCCCTCAGACATCAACATGTGCCTGGGCAGCAACACAGACCATGGACATCTGCCTGTCCTGTGATAGTAACTCCTGCTCATGCAGGGCCTCAGAACTAGATGTGGACTCCAATGGAAGCACAGGCCACTACATCCCCAGATACTCACACCAGGCTGTTCCTCACTGACATTGAGTTCAGTTATTGTGCCTGCATACTTCTGTTTCTCTTTCTCTTCCATTTTTCCTCCACTTTGTTACACTCTGAGTCTCTATATACCTGGGGTCATCTCAGCAGTGGTCTTTGAAGTGCTATGGCCAGCTTGTGTACTATGGAACTGGACAGGGATCATCTTGGACATAGTTTGACCCCCCCCAAGGGGTGTGTAGCACTGAATTGGTGGTCATCTCAGGCTGCTCCCTGACTAGATTCCATGGTGCTTGTATAGTGGTTTTCTTGGGCTAGTCCTCACACTGCCCACCCAAGTGGCACCTTGTGAGAGTCATGTCTCTTAGGCTTATATTGGCCCAGGACAGGTAGTGTCAAAAGGGGTTAGTCTAGTCTCTGGCTTGCTCTTTGTTCTGGGAGCCCATCTAGTTGGTCATCTTAGGCTCATTTTTTCCCTAGGGAATGTTAGGTTACTAATCATTCAGAAGTTTATAGGTCAGAACATTGAGGATAGACATAACCCCTCTCCTCTCTGCCACCTACTGAAGTACATGTGACACAGCAGTCATACCTGCAACACCTCCAGGGGCAGATGTAAGACAAATGTTAATGTAAACATCCTATATCTATACGTCAATCAGCAGAGTAAATCTACTGATACCAAAAAATCAAAGCAGGTAGTAAGATGCCAACATCATCTCTGTCCAGGGTAGGCCTGACTCCTCCCAGAAATGAGATGCCAATACAGACCAAGCAAAGCTTACAGTTTCAGTTTTCTACTGATGTTTCTAGAGCTCCCCTTTATAGCTTTTATGTCTCCTAACTTCTAGCATGTCTTTGTTCCAACAACATCAATTAGAGGTATCCCTGAGGACCTCATACCAACTGCCTGCAGGACAATAGCACAATGAAACATTGTCCATGGGAATGTCAGCCATCTTCTCCCCAGGGCTTAGCCAGTGGGAAGTGGCAAAATATAATTGTTACAGAACATTTACCTTGATACAGATGCAGAAACCAAGCATGACCTTCAGTCTCACCAAGACTGCCTTGTGGGATTGAGCCCTTTAGGGATTGGGACACCATACTTGATTCAGTCACCTTCCCTTGTCTCCTTTCTTTGCTTCTCATACTTCTGTTACTCAGTGTTTTGACAACACATAACCATCACATTAGAATCTTCTCCTGTGAAACCAGATACAAAAGCAACACAACTTCCATTGATGTCCCAATCACTCAAAAGCTTTTTGGTACATTTATTAAAACAGAGTCTCCCTTGAACTCTCACTGGGCACAACTATTCCTCAAACATGGCAAAGCATAAATCTAACTCTCATTCATTTGCCTGGCTCTTTGGTGCTACAGAAATTCTTCACTCAACATCACAAAGAGAATTGGCATTTGCCTCTTCAGAAGCTAGAAATAGAAGCTTATCATTGATATTTTCATTTCAGACCTGAGGCAGATCGGCAGAACAAACAAAACAGATTTCTTTCACTTTAATCACCTGGACCCTCAGACACCAAACTCTCAGACTCGTTTTCTTGTGCTCCATTCCAAGAATAATAAACATTGCACACCTTGTCAGGAATTGGTCCACAATATTTGAGGTCTTATAGTTTTCTAGAGAAGTAGGTAAAGTATTGTCCATTTGTTATCTCCTCCCAGACACTATGAGGTACTATCATCATCCTTACCCTTGGTTTTTAGATGCAGAGACAGAGTATATAGAACACCTATGCTACGTACCCTGGAACAAACAAAAACAACAAAACAAAACAAAATGTTGACTTGGATTCCGGAATTTATCATCACAGAATCTGAACCATTAAATCTCACATAAATGTTCCATGTAAACAGTAAAGTGTTGTTATACATTGGATTTCCACATATATATTTATCAAGTAGAGTATAATAGTGTATTATTGACATATATACAAATACCACATAAGACCTTTGATTTATCTTACAACAAAACAAAAACAAAACAAACAAACAAACAAAAAAACCAGCAATGTGATCAACTGTTCTCTACTGGAAATGAAACATTTTGGGTGAACAGAAAGACTAAGTTTTCCAGTCTTCTTTGCTTCTGGGTGGAAGCCATGTAATTAAATGCTTGTACAATGGAATGTGAGAAATAATAAATCTCTCTGTACCAGGAATTTGGCGTGTACACATTCTATATATTCCCTTCCTTCTCTTTGCCAAGAAGAAACGTGCTTCAGACGTTAGAGGGCTGTAGGATAAACATCTGACACCTGAATGACCTGCAGGAAAGACCCCAGGGAGAGTGCCAAATGTGCTATGGCTAGACCAAGAGTGAAATATACTCAGTTGCTATCTCACACCTCTGGGTGTTAGTATTTACTTACCAGCACAGCCAAACCTAGCCTCATTTCCATCCCTCATCTATGCTGTATGTAGAGAATTACCTGAGCTTACATTTTATAGGTGGAGAATAAGAAAGTTTGGATTAGATTTGTCAATTAATTATCACATTTCTTGCAATAACTTCAATCCGATTTGTCAGCTATTATAGTATAAATCTCACCTGTCACATTTACTCATCTAACAATGAGTTTTTAAGTAACTATTAATTTTCAGCAACAACACCATGATCAAACATATGAAGATGCACATTGTCTCTATTCCTGAAAAATCAGAGTCTAGTGGAGAAGTTTGGTGCATAAGCAGGCAGCTCTCAAAACAAGCCACCCACCACAATGATGAACTATGTGTTTGGAGACCTTCAAGAATCAAGCATCAGTGGACGACAGCCTAAGGAAATCTAAAAAGACTTCAAGGGACATATTATGTAACATAGAATCTGAAAGAAAAATTAAGGACCTTGGTGGGAACTAAGGGAAGAATTTAAGGAAGTATTGTATGAATGTAAAAGGAAGAGTAAAAGCAAAATAGATACTGTGATAGTTGAAAACATAATTGTCAAATGTGGAGGACCAAGCACCATTTAGATATCCCTCTAAGCATGCCTGTGAGAAAATTCCTACCTCGGCTTAACAGAAGTTGGAGAACCCACTCTAATTGTGAGGCACACTATTCTATAGGTTGGGGAATCAGACTGAATATAAAAAAAGAACTTGAATAAGCACAAAATTCACCTCTCTCTGCTTCTTTTTTATAGATGTACTGTAACCACTAGTCTCAGACTCCTGCCATGATGCCCCTGCCATGAGAAATGTTAGCCTTAAACTGTGAGCTCAAATAAACCCTTCCTTCCTGAAGTTGTTTTTGTCCAGGTGTTTTGTTACATGGAGAAATGTAACTGATAGAAATAAGAATTGGAACGCGACCATGGCTAAGGAAAGAATTATGGTGAACAGTCTGACTCACCAAGAAACATTTGTTCTATTCATTTATCATCATGTTAGGAACTAGTCCCAAGGACTGTAGTTTTTGGAAACAACAATTTTTAGTCTCATGATTATGCAGGTAAAGCAAGTAGGCCAATATGAGATGAATTTACTTTCAAAATCTAGCTGGTACTTTGTTGAGCATGGAGTACTGTGATAACGTTGTTGACTTGTGCACCAACATCTAGCATCTTGGGTGAGACAGATGGATCCAAAACAGTTTGGTTCTTCATATGCTAGGACTCTGAGAGAGCTCCTACCTGACAGGCTGAGAGTGGAAGATAAAAATCCCATATGTCTGAAGCTAGAAACTGATACAGACTTGCTTTTTCTGTTCTTTGTGACCAGAGCAATCACAATGCTTATCTATACTCAAGAAGATGAAGTCACTCAACTTCTCTATGAGTGAAGTGGTGAGAGTTAAAGTAAAAGAAAAAGATGAAAGTTGTAGTCTCTCAGCTACAGTGATGAGTCTCTTCCATAATGAGTTCCACTGGGAGAAAAATCAGTGTGCAAGATCTTCTTCTCTCACTCTGTTGATAGGCTTAGTAATGGCTAGAGAAGCATGGTGAGATAGAGCTGATATTAGAGACATACCTAAAACATCAGCCAACTTTAACAGTAGAGACATTCAAACTGGACTTGTATAGAAGACAGACACTACTTAGGGAGGTAGGGTTCTGGAACATTCAGGAGCACACATATACAGAAGAGATGTGTTTAAGCTCTAAATGAAAAGAGATACTAGAGATGATTCATTGTTGGCCAAGGTCACCCCTGCGGTAGACACAGAGAGCATACTTAGAGTAATGCTAAGAAGCTTGCATTAAAGCAGAATGGAGTTAGGCTATTTGTTCAAGTCTATAACCCCAGTGCTCCAGAGACTAAGGCAGTAGGGCTCCCATGTGTTAGAGTCCATCCTGAATTACACAGTGACTTGAAGACCAGCCATACTCACATAGCAACATTCAACAGCAAAAAATAAAAACAGGTCTTGGGAGAAGGGTCATTGTAACAGTTATTTCTGGATGTTAACTTGACTATATCTGGAATGAACTACAATCCAAAATTGAAGGGCTCACCCGTGACCCAGATCTTGAGGCTGGAAGACACAAGTTTCTAACCTGGATTTTGACATGGATATTTTGAAGCATAGTGGCCATGAAAAGCTCAGGCCCAGGCAAGGTTGTACATGCCGTTAATCTCAGGAGACAAGAGGCAAGGAGTTTCCTGAGTTCAAGGTCAGTCTCAGACAATTTCCAGATACAGGTGTGATGGAACATACTTTTTATCTGTGCTATACCTTCTGCTGGAGACCTACATAAGGCCATTAGAAGAAGGAAGATTCACTCTTTTTTGCCTGCTTGCATTTACTTGCCAGCACATCTCTTGGAACTTACTTCTATAGAAGACCAGCTGAAACAACTAGCCTCGTGGAAATGAGCAGCTACTAGATTCTTGGGCTTCCCATTCACATCTGACCATTGTTGGGGTAGTTAGACTAAAGCCTGTAAATCATCACAATAAATTCCCTCAATAGTGAGACAGATTCCATAAGTTCTGTGCCTCTAGAGAACTCTGACTAACACAATCGTTAAACAGAATACCTGTTTTGGAAACATGAGAACATGAGTTTAGATCATCATGTAAAAATTCATGTTGAAACCAGACCCTGTAGTGTGTACATACAAATCAGAAAGAGAGAGAGAGAGAGAGAGAGAGAGAGAGAGAGAGAGAGAGAGAGATCGGATTAAAACAAAGCAAAAATTAAATAACAACAATAAAAGATCTGAAATCCGAAGGCTGGGTTCTCTGTTACCAACAGTACTATTGGATCATAGTCACAATATTTGTTCATCTTTTTTTTTTCCATACTCAGCTGATTCTGTACTGTAGTGCAAAAGTAAGTAGCTACAGAGATCCTCAAGGAAAGCTCACAAAACCTGACAAACAAACAAACAAATACCTGGCCAACTACTGGTTTTAAGAACTAATATGAGACTTGCATAGTGGCACACTATTATAATCTTACATTCAGAGGTGAAAGCTGAGGCTGGAAGAAGATAAACTTGAGGCCAGTTTGGACTAAATTAACAGACATTTTTAAAGAAACAAATAACAAAAATTAAAACAATTAAATGACAACTGACAGCATTGGCCCTCTGATTACAGATCTGTAATTGGGACAGAAGACAGAAAGAATGAGCTGAAGAGGG